TCCCGGTATCTAGGGTTCTGGAATTCTACCAGCGTTGGTCTTGGGTTACCTTCTCTGCCAACTTGGGAGGTTTCCCTCCATTTCCCCGGGCACGGGATTCGCTTGGAGTAATTATGCCCTGGGTTATTAACAAGGCGTAAGATATTAAGTAACTGGTGGAGAAGGTCGTGTTTGCGCTTGCGTGTCTCCTGACAATATAGTTCAGCCAGACCCCCAATCACTGCGTTACGATTTGTGCCGGAAGCTATGTCCATGTTCGCTTCCAGCTTTCTTAAGACGCTGTCCAGTGAATTAGTGATTGTAGTTAGTCGGTTTATTGAAGCCTCGTGGTCGTCAAGTGTGTTACGGTGCAACTCAGATGTCGATGCGAGTCCCGTATTGCATGGGCTTGGAACCTTACTGGAAAGATTTTTGGGAGGTGAGTGTGAATCTTTGGGCGGAACTACTAATTTGTGCTGATCGGAGTTGGGCGAGCCTACTCCGCTGAACTTTCTCTTTCTGCCATCGGTCTTTTTGGCGACAGTATGAGCTTTTCCTGGAGTGTGTCCCTTATTAGTCATGTCTAGCATTGTACCTGGAGCCTTAAGGGGTGTTGAGATTACCATGGACTCTGATCGGCTCTGAGTGGTCGTCTGTACCTCTTCGCCAGAAGCCTGCTAAATGTTTACAGTACCCATTGCACAAGTGGGTCAAGATACGGGAGAGATATTAGATTTCTTCTTTGTTGATGCCATGCATCCACTACAGGCCCACTTCAGGAACTTACGTTCCGAGTAGATTCCGGATGCCTTGGCTGAGAGTTGGCTGCATTTGTGATGGAACCAACTGTGACACGCGTCGCACCTTATGCCGTCCANCGCAGAGCACCCTACCTTCCCACAAGGAAACAGTGTCACCGGTTTTGCTGATGCCACGGTTCTCACTGGATTCTTACGCGTGACAGCCAGTAGTCAGCAATAATCCTATGGAACTGGGTGTGAATATGCTCAAGTGTGAATGGAACGGAAACAGTGCTAGGCTACTGGATACCAAGAACTTATGCTACAATAGTATAGATTAGTAGAGTAGAGACAAGTAACCAAAGAGAAACCAAACTGGGTCACCTCTAAACAGTATAGTTTGAAGCCAATCGCCTACTTGCGTTATGTATCGTCACTGCGGTCCAGCCACCCAGATACCGACCAGTGAAGTTTTCCAAATGCAGACTGCACGCCTCGTCATGTTGGCGGGAATGATGAATTGTCACGATGCCCTTGGTCGTCCGTTATATTTTCTCGAACTCGGTCTTTCCTTCGATAGTATGGCGACTTATCAATAAACGCGTCTTCCCACTCCAAATTTCAAACCGCCCTCGGTCAAAATCAGATCAATTCAATTCCTTAGAAAGGAAATAGGCACGATTGGTGAGGCGAGGGGGCACCGAACTTAGTTCATCCAGGGGAAGGCGGAAGCCCTCCACAACTACTTCCAGGGGGTTTATAGGTCAGACAACGGTAAACCAGAGTCCACCATCGGAAATCATGAGAGAACTTTCATGCTGGAAGTGGTGATCTTTGCAGATGAAGAGCATGGGGTCTTAAGGGAGCTCATTTCATCGAAGGTAGCAGGGCCAGATGGCATTCACCCCGCTATCCCGAGACCACTGACTAACCACTTGGCTGAGCCCCTTGCCAGACTATTCAATGCCTTCATCGCGCAGAGCCAACTACCCACGGACTGGTTACTGGCCACAGTTATCCCTATTTACGAGGGGGAAAACGTAAGTCGTTTCAACTATCTCTCAGTCAGCCTGACATTGGTAGCGCTGAAGGTCATGGAGAGAGGATCGCTGAACACATAATGACCGCAGGCTCATGGCCGGCTGACCAAAGCGGGTTCAGGAAGAGGAAATCATGAGTGTCAAACCTCTTTCGTTTTCTTGATGAATCAACTAAGAGGAGGAGGGAGGAAGTTGAGGTCTTCTACTTAGACTACCAGTAAGCCTTTGACTCCGTCAAGCATAGACTACTGACGACAAAGTTGAAGGCTTTCGGGCAGCCTTAGGGACTCCTAGAATGTACAAGCAGCTGCTTGATAGGTCGGAGGTTTGTTGTGAAGGTAGAAAATAGTACGTGAAGCCAAGGACGAGTGCTTAGTGGAGTTCCACAAGGCTCTGTCCTAGGTACACTACTTTTTTGCAGCACAGACCTGGAAAACCGCTGCTGCAAGTTTGCAGACGACGTGAAAATCGCGACAGAGTCGGTCCAGAAGGATCTTGGCAAAATATATGCGTTGTCAGTTAAATTTCGCCCGGGCCAGCCCCAACAGATACCAACCGTAACCATGGTCAGCGACTTAGGTATCCTTGTTAGTGCGGACTTCAAGCCTGAACTCCATTGTTGAGAGGCAGCAAAACGGGCATACAGAGCCTTACACCAACTAAGACGGGCAGTAAACTCTAGGAAACCTGAAGTCGTGCTCTCTCTTTACAAGGCTTATTTGCGCCCGCACCTCGAATGCTGCGTCCAGGTTTGGAGCCCGTTTCTGATCCAGGACATGAAAACGCTAGAGTCCGCGTAGGGTCGATTCTCCAAGCGGTTTGCGGGCTTGAGACATCTATCTCACGAGAGGCTTCTGGAAGCCTTAAACCTTTTATCATTGAGCAGGCGTAAGCGACGCGGAGAATTGATCGAAGAGTATAAAATACTGAGAGGGTTTGTGGATGTATCAAATGGAGCGCTGCTCAAGTTCAGTGAAACAACGAACCTGAGAGGGCACACTGTAAAACCGGTTTACGGTAGAGTGAGGACTCGGTTTAGAGCGTCCTCGTTCACAAACAGAGTTGTGAATGATTGGAATAAACTGCCGGATGAATTCATTGTTGCCAACTCGATAGCAGACTTGAAACGCAAACTCAGGTCAGGTCAGGTCACGGGACTTGCTGCTGATGCTAATTTGAGTCCAGGTTCTTGCACCGTAAGCGTATCATTTGCCTACGTGTGGTTCGACAATCTAGGATCCTTTGCGAGCCGAATTTTGGGCCCATCGGTGTCGATTTGGGCAACTTTCCGGTTCAGGTCCTACTTCTGCAGCTGATACGGTTTATTGCTAAAGGGGAATACATGCAGAAAGAAAAGAAAAAAAGGAATGCCTGCAATTTAGATATGCACCTAGCTCAGAGGGTAGTGGGATGAGGCAATGCTATACCCTAGCCGGTTTCCTAATTATGGGAGATTCGTATACCCGGCAGGGTGCTAGAGAAGCCTGTGCAGATTTAAGAATAAGCAACCTATGATATCCTACTGGGAATTTTAGTACATATCCATATGTGTATATTAATATTTATATTCATCGTCGGAAAATATACCCGACCATGACTCGTCCAGCTGATGCTTAAAAGCCCCAAGGCTACGGGCAGCAACCACTTGCTGTGGTAACCGGTTCCACGCAATGATCACCCGATGCGAAAAGAACTGGGCTCCTTGCTGCCCTGGACTTTTCCAATTTGCACCCTTTGCCCCTAGAGTTGGTGTTGTTGCATAGATGCAGCAGCGGCGTTTCCGTTACCGAGGCGCCGGCGAGCTCCCTGAAGGCCTCTATGAGGTCCCCTCGCATTCTCCTTCTCTTGAGGGAGAACAGGTTTAACCTCCTGAACCTCTCGCTGTATGCAACACCACTCATACCTTCTATGACCCTAGTGAAACTTCTTTGTAAGGCCTCCAGGACCTTGAC